ACTCTCCCTCCTGGACTTTCAGGGTCTGAGGACGCTGCTCCACCTGGTCTCCTCCACTCAACCCTGTTCAGGAAAACAAAATCAGAAATGAAACAAAGCTTTCAGTTTGGCAGTTTTGAAGAATTCCAACAAGAAACCTGGGACGAGCTGAGATTAAACCCACTTTTCTTCTCAGCTCTGGACAAATGTGCCCTTGTGTTCTCACCTCTTAACCTCCGACTTACTGCCAAGCTGAAGCCACAAGTCTATGAATGCACATCCCAGCACGTTCTCCATCCTGGTATCTCAGTCTTGATACAACTTTAATGATTCCAAACCTTCTCCTCGGAGGAACTGTTCCTATGTCTTCGTTCTCGTTCTTTGATGCACCGGAGAGCCTTTCTGTTGGCGGCTCGAGAGCAAATCCTCTCAAGAGTGAATGCTTTTGATGCTTGAGGCGCTTGTGGCACAAGAGGGACGGAACCACTGCCACCGGGTGCTCACAAGCACAACCTCACGCCCCCCCCCCTCACGCCACCTCCAGAGACTGTGGGAAGGACATTTTGATACCGGTGGGCAGAGAATAAATGCGGTATAAAGCCGTAGTCAGGCATTCTCTGCCTGCACTTTTAATGGTTTCATTGTTCCTTCAATGCTCTTTGAAGCTAAACTGCTACCAGAAGTTATAAAAGAGTTGAACCAGGCATAGGTTTAGTGGATTATGCTTCTCTCTGTAATATGCAAGCATCTCAGCAGGTGAGACTTAGAAGAACTAGAGTGCTGAAAAGGAGGGGGCGGGGATGGAACAGCCGTGGCTTCGTCTGGAAACCTCTTTGACATAAAATTGGGAACGTAAGTTAAGAAATCTATTTCTGCAAATAATCTTATACCTGGCTACAGGGACCAAGTGTGACTAAAACTCAGAGTTGGAAACTTGACAGACATTCAGAGGGAGGGAGGGAAGGAAGAGCACGGCAGAGGGAAGAGAGCTCTCCATCCTAGACCTTGGAGATCAGGAAGTTACAGGATGGAGGTGGAGGCAGATGGATGATTATGGCAAAACTAGCATCGTTTAAGTTGATTCTGTGACACTCCACTGGATTTTGTCATATTGAACGTGTGTTTATGTTGCTGACTTTAGACTTGTCTGAATTAGCTGCAGCCAGTAAAAGAGCATCCACTCTCAGATGTGCTGCTTTCATATCACTCATCCCTCACCCACTCTGTGACAGGAGAAGTAAGCGGTACAGAATTTATCACACTGACAGTGTGAGCCAGGGGTTTGCTGTTCTTTGACTTTTTCTTATAAAATTTCATCATTTACTAGTGATCTAAAAATCCTTACACTAACTTGCATCCGTTTTCTCATCGCTGATTTGATGTAGTCTAGCCATACTTAGCAAACTCTGACTCTTACAAGTCATATTGAAAAAGTAGCTTTTCTCTGTTTCTGAATGTGTTTCTTGGAGAGACGGGGGAAAAGGTAA